CGCGGATTCGCTGGTACCACGCTCAAACAGGCCTCCGCGACGGCGTTCCGACTAGGGACGTATAACATCCTCAAAGACTACGAGAAAAAGAAAAACATCGAGCAAAATACTGCTGTCAACTTTGCAAACGGCTCCGTAGCCGGTGTCGTGACTACGCTTTCCACACAGCCCTTTGACGTCATCAAGACGCGGTCGCAGAGCGCAAAGGGAACGAGTACCGCCGAAGCCGTCAAGAGCGTTCTCCTCGACTATGGCGTCCGTGGATTCTGGAAGGGCACAACGATGAGGCTCGGTCGAACTGTGTTTAGCGGCGGAATATTATTCACAAGCTACGAAGCCGCCGTCAAAATCATTCTGCCGTTGTATCCCGGCGCACGACAAGTCCAGACTGCATAAGATATGAATCTTACCTACACACCTAATCTACTTTCTTAGAACCCAAAGACCAAGAAAATAAAGAAAATCCATAAAGCGTTTTTTGTTTTTGCTACATGCTATGTACTTACAAGGAAGTTACTTGATTCTAAGCCTTTACAGCCCTCGCATCATACTCATCGATAACGCTAATAGGCTTCACAAACCTGCCGAGGGGCTTATATTCTAAATGTCCCAGGCCAAACGCCTGGGGTCCTCCAATTTCAATCCCGCGCTCGCTGGTCCACCGCTCACTCGCCGTGACCGCAATCACGGAAACAAGGAGTCCATAGCGGTACTCGGGGGTGCCAATTGCCTCGCCATTCTGCGCATCAATGACGGCAATAAGATCCGGTACAATGGCGAGCACATCTTCGTTTCGCTCCTCGCCCGTCGCGCGGTCCCCCGTCTCGGGGATGCGGAAAGCGGCGATGTTCTCGTTTTTAAAGGGGATCTTGATGGTGCTGCCGAGGAAGTCGGGGGTTGTGCCTTGAATTACGACTTCGCCGTATACATGGCCCATGTGGAGTTTGCGGGTTACGCCTACGATTTTGCCTTTGAAAAGTACGCGGCCGGTTTCTGCGCCGCCGATGGCTTCAATGATGCTTTCGGCGACGGTATCGATGCGGTTTTCCTTGCGTGCGCGTGCGACTTCGCGGCCGATGCGCCAGGAAAGCGATACTGTGTGTTCGACGGCCCAGCGCTTCGTTTCCTCCCCGCTCACTGGCGCATCGGCGGTGCCCACTGAACTTCCCATCTGGCTCAGCGCCGCGCGAATCACTTGTTCGACTTTGAGGTCGCTGGCAGCGGTGGGCATGTAGAGCGTGTTTCCGTTTCCGTCGGCGACGGCCACCGGGGCGAAGATGATGGGGCGCTCGTTGAAGACGACGGGCGTGGTTTGCCATTTTGTGGGGTAGGCGCGGCCCATCCAGTCGCCGTCGATGCAGGGGACGTTCATGTTGGAGGAGGCGCCGAGGACGAGGCCTTGGAGGCCGTTTGAGCCGCCGATTTCGAGGGGGATGATGTGCGTGGCGGAGGTGCTGGGGTTGAGGGTGCGGAGGGTATTTTGGGCGTCCATCATTCTGGGTTGTTGTTAGTTTCCTTTGTTCCCTTCCACTTGGTACTGTTAAATTGGTGGGAGGGAATTAAAAGACTTACTCGTCTGCGGAGAGCTTTTCGATACCGACGGTTGGACTACCAGCGCCGCCTCCGCTACCTACGAGAGCATCGTCTGCTAGGTCGTCCGGGTTGACAACGCAGACTGTGTGGCCTGAGCGAAGTATTCCTCGGACTCGAAGCATAGTTGAGTAAGGGGATCCGCCACCACCGGTACCCAGGATGTAGCACCCGATTGTGATCCATGCGAGATCTGTTTCTGAGATCCACCACTCGCGGTTCTTGACGTTGGGCTTGTACGTATCGATGTCGACATCCGTGACAGCATCGGCTTCGTCTGTGTTTTCTTCAGTTGAAGGCGCAGCAATAGCAGCACCGGCGTCCTCCGGACCAGTTTCTGACTCCTCTCCGTCTTTAGTCACATCCAAGTCTGAAAAGTCGCCTGCACGGGAAAAGTCAAAGTCGCCAGCAGCTCGAACCATGAAGCGTGTCTTGTTAGCCACATACTGCAGTGGCAGATCTTCCACTTCGACAATTGCAACTGTATCCGCTGAGCCGCCTGCTTCAATCGTCTTTTGCTTAGCTTCAACACAGATTTCCTCCAGAAGCTCCTTTTGTGACTGCTTTTCAGTCGACTTGACAGTGTCGATGACAGCACTGACGCGTGCCATTGCAGCACCAATTGCATTGGCTACGCCCGACCATCGAGGCTTGATCACCCTGCTTGCACCTTTGAGTTCATCTGGTGCTATGACTGCACCTCCACCCACTAAAAGAACAGGAATTTCCTCCGGGGACGTCTTCATCGTATCAATAATACTCTCAAGCATGCGCTTCGTCTCCGTCTTGAAAGCCTGTACATCCTCCTCCTTAAGCTTCCCTCGCACCTTTTCCGGCTCGCCAATAGCAACATCAGACGATGCTGCAACAATGTAATCAGTCGCCGTTGCAACACTGCCCCCAAACACAAGTGCTTTTTCCGGTAATTTGTAGCCCACAGATTCCGGTCCTACCTGCATTTTCCCTTCGACTCTCCGCACCAGACTGCCACCTCCCAACCCGATACTCTTGACATCGGGATATGAAAAGTTCATCCGCACGCCCGATAGCTCAGAGTATGCAGCTTGCTGTCTGGGGAAGCCGTTGGCAAGTAGTAGACCCACATCTGTAGTGGTGCCACCAACATCAACAACCATCATAGCTTCTCCTTGTTCTTGCTTTCCCATTAGAAACGCCGCTCCGCGCATACTGTTCGTCGGTCCAGAAGAAAACGTGCGGATAGGCAACTGACTTGCTGCTTTACCACTGAGTATCGTGCCATCGTTCTGCGTGATGAAAACAGGGCAGCTGAGTCCCAATTTCTTGACTGGCGTCTGAAACGACGCGATTGTCTTTCTTGCAAAACTCAGAATCGAAGCATTCAGTATCGCGGCATTTTCGCGCTCCAGGAACCCGAGGTTGGCGACCGTCTTGCTGAGCACAATGTCGACGTCGTTGCCAAGTTCGCGTCTGATGATTTCCGAGGCGCGTTCTTCTTGCTTGTCAATTGTGTCGATGGGACTGAAGACGCCGTTTACGACTATGCTTTTGATTCCTTTTTCTTTGATGATACGACACTGTTCGACGATTTCCTCCTCTTTGATGTCTGAAATCAGACTGCCGTCGACTTCCAGTCCGCCCTTGAGGAGTGCGTAGTGTCCAAGGATGATGTTGCGCAGGGAGGTGGGCCAGTCAACACAGGGTGGTGCGTGCTTACTGAATGGGCCGCAGAGACGGATGACAGCAACGCGGGAGAGGCGTGTTCGATCTCGAGTCACAACCGCATTTACAAAATGCGTTGTTCCTATTGTCACGCTGGCTACGGATGCTGGGTCCACCGACGCGGATTTGAACATGGTCGTGATGGCATTGGCGATTCCATGGCTGGGATCCGTTGTCGTTGGAGCCTTGTGCCTAGTGGTATCTGTGAGCTCTCATGTTATCCTACATGGAATGAATTGGCTGCCCTGACTCAGGTACGTATACTGAGGCCAGTGCATAGGGGTGGGATGCAAAGCGAGTTGTTTCTCTGAGCGTAACAAAGGAGGAGAAATATTACCAAGCAACAATCCCACGATCCTCCTCATTCGACCTTGTAGGATCAATGATAACTCCATCTGTATTCGTACTACAAAGCAACCGTCAGTTTCGCAATACAGCTTTATTCTCTGCGTTGTGGCGTAGCTCACCCGCCAACGTCGACACCAATTCGCAGATTCTTCGTCGCAGCCATGGCAATAGCAAGACTCGTTTTTGAGAGAAAAGCGGAAAAAAATTGAAATGTTAGGAAAACCACAATGGATGCTGTCAAGTCACTTCATTTCTGACGTGACACTGCTCCCATCTGATAAGATGTGGATTTCGCGTTGGCGGGGCAGGCCAACCCTGGCAACATAGCCCCGAAGTCGCACCTTGCTCGTGTTCGACTGCACAAACAAGGTCGTCTTTCAGCCGTCCCACCCTCGTACATCTCCAATTCACCTCTCCACTCTCCAAACCATCTCCAAATCGATACTGATTAGACTTAATTCTAGGTACTCGCCATCATTGCGCACAACCAATCTCCTCCGTCGCTACTCTGTATCCAAACGGTTGTTCGCCAAAGTATCGCCTGTGCCCCTCCAACCCCACCCGCCGATCTTTTACTACATCTACATTGCTGGGATAAGAAGAACCCCTCCTTTTCCCCCAGATACCCAATGCCACGTGCACTCCGGAAGCGATTATCAACTTATCTCTGCTCCTTCCAAACCCCCAGTCTTGCCTTTTTCTGGGAATAAACGAGCATGGATATTAATATGGTTTCTTGAGGATTCGGATTACCCCCCCTGGGCTATTGGTTGCATTCTAGAGTAGTATCAAGCATTCCTGCGGCGTATACGCTTGATTAATGCAAAGTCGAGCTATCACTATTGCAAACTTGCATACTCTCCTTCTACGTCTGCCTACACATACTCGCCAACTCTCGAAATCACGCAAACATCATATGATAGCAGAGAAAAAACAAGCTTTCCGTTAGTCCTCAAACCACACTCTTGACACTCAGCCATTCCCCGCGCAATCGCGCTAGTCGCCGCGTGCCCGCCCGCTGTCTAGATAGTGCTCCCACCATCTCCTCCACCCTCCCCCCATCCCCGCTGGAGTATGTAGGGGGACGCCACTACATAAGGGCCTCGGCGCCGAGCCCTCTCGGTCCCGCAAGATAACCACCCTATACCTTTCATTCTTGCCTTTAATAAAAAGGGACATACAACTCAGCTATCCCCTGCTCAGCTTTCCTTCTCCTCAGCTCTCCCTCCTCTCCCTCTCCCTCTCCCTCTCCAACCCTCCTGCCCCATCCACTCAACCCTCACTATCTTATCTATCCCATTCCCGCCCCTCAATGTCCAAATAATCGGAACGTGAATATATAAAAAAGCAAAAAAAAAACTATGGCTTTAAAAGACCGCATAACCTCCCTCCCCGGATCCCTCCGCCTCAAGGGTAACGAATCCAAACACGAACAAACAGACGCATGGAGCAACCGCGACTTAATCCCCTTACCACCCGAGCGCCGAACATGGGGCTGGTTCAATTTCTTCGGATTCTGGTCTATCGGATCGTTGAATCTGGCGAATTGGCAGACGCCTAGCACTTTCTTAGGTACTTTATCTTCCTCTCTCTCTCTCCCTCTCTCTCTCTCTCCCTCTCTCTCTCTC